ATATAGTCTGTGTGTATTTTGCATGAGATTGTGTGTATGTGTGTATATGTATGTTTGGCTGTATGTACACACATACTACAAAGCAGATAGCACATAACGAAACAAAGCCACTTCGATACTTATGCAATATATTCTCGACAGATCAGACGCCAACTCAAAGATAACCCCTAAAAATTCATTCTCGTTAGTAATACACCACGAACAATAAAATACATTGAAACTTGGTCAGCATTGCGAACGAATGACAGTTCGCCTAAAATGAGATCAAAATAATATAAAATGACCGATACCATATTTTGCGGCATATACGCCGGTGTCCATAATTGTGGCATCGGTTGCGCCACCATGACTCCATTGTGATTCCCATTTGGAAATACTCCTACACCACCAGGATAAACTGGATAAACGGGATATACCGGTATGGGTGCTGGGTAGATACCAGCTTGCCCAGAGGAGTGGGTGCCGTAGTTCATTTCCATCTGCCCAACTAAGATGCCACCTTGCCAGTTGACCATCACGCTTCGAGCAACGGGCGCATTTGTGAGTGCATACTGCTGTGCCCTATGGAATGCGGCTGAACCGCGTGCTAGATTGTGTGCCATTATATTTGTGTATACCTCGCAACTTAGAAGGTGCGAGTATCTCTTCCTCCGAGTAATGCGGAGATAGACGAGGACGACAGACTAGTTATACATAGAAAGTTTTATATTTATTTATTTTTTACACACTAGAGTTCAACCAAATTTGCTCTCCACATGATTTTATAAATTTTAAAAAAACCCAGTATTGAGCAGTGCCGGTCACTGCCGGTCCCGGATGGCAGGAAATGGAAACGGCGAAACGCAGCCACTTGGGTGAGGACTGAGGACTGAGGTCTGAGGAGTTGAGGCCCACAGTCTTTCACCCAATTTTTTTTACCAAAAATGTTGTCTATTTGAAGAAGGCTGTCACACCATATATATTTGCATTTTTAGAAAAATAAATGATGACGCATCATACTGATGCGTTAATGGCTCCATTTTTCTCCCATAGTATATTTTTACTGGAGGGTGGTGAGTTGGTGACACACTCTCTCTACTCTAGCCTGGGGTCCACTGGGACCTGGGAGTCTGGGACTCGGGAGGATGGCTGCCAGGCAGTCAGGGCCATGCCTGAGCCCTGAGGTCAGGGCCAGGCCTGAGCCCTGAGGTCAGGGCCTCAGGGGTCACGGGTGTGCACTGTGCAGTGTGCACCCCTGGGTCCTGTGTGCAGACTGCGGACTGCCGTGTGCAGTCACAAGCGGAAAGCCTAAACCAGTGACAGGTCACTGAGACTGATCACTATTCACTGCCTCGTCTGATCTGATGAGAGACCGAAGAGTGAAGACCTCTCAGGCCCTCAACCCTCAGGGCTTAGGCTCTTTGGCTCTATGGCTCTCACACCGACTTTTAAATATGACTCATGACTCATGACTTATGACTCATGACTCCTCCCTCGCTTGTTGATGAGTTTTTCTTTGTTTGTTTAATTTTGAGCTGAGCTCTCGGTAGCAAATTTAAAAATTGTCCGTGTTTAATTCAGTGTATATATCGTGATACCGAACTATACATGATCGGCATACTCAATTATAAAACATTTGGATATTTTGTAAAGAGCGGGATCAGAACCCGACATAATTTGATATATACATTTCCACACCTACATAAGTCCTTGTGCCCCGCGGGTAAACCCGAAAATAAAAATAAAAATATTAATCAAATTGTATAAATTCATATATTTTAGCCTCTCCTAATAAAAATTGATCAAAATTAACGGATGAACTCTCTCTCCTTGTGACTTGTCATAGGCTCATGGCCTTCTGAAAATACGGACGTTAGCCGTTAGGTCGTTTAAAAAAAAAGACTTTAAGTCCGTTCAGTCATATTTTCTTTCTTCTCCTCTCTCTCTCTAGTCTCTCTACTATAGTGTTGGTTTTGTTGTACGATTAACGTCGTATACTATTACGCAGCCTTGAGGTAATTGGTCAGCTGTATAGTAGTGAATTTTTAAGATGTGGTATCTATCGTAGGACAATGATTCTATTGGTTTATTGTATAGTAGTGTTTTATATGCTTGGGCAGCTTTCTCGTCTACCGAGTTCAATTTTATCGCAATTTTATACGATTATTTCTAGCAGAAAATTGTAACCAAAATCGTACGAATGCGCCGTGGGCCGTAACCAAATTCTGGTGGCATCTTTCGGGTTTTAGGGTTCAATTAGTTGCAGTATTTTTATCTATTTTTTAAAATAGAAAGTGTTCTAAAGTTTCCTATTATTTCTCTGGTTTCTATACAAATTTACAAAAATTTACATAATTTACATATTTTCAAATTTTCAAATTTACACATAC